CCAAACTTCATTTAAAAATATTACTTTAGTTTCTACTTTTAGAAAAATGGTTGAGTTTACAAAAACAGTGTTAAATACCAGGACTGAGTTTAATATATAGAAATATGGTAAGAAACCAGTAAAAATAATCCCTGAAGGATTCAATCAGTTGGCACGAGGCCAAATTATGAAAATTAATCCATTTTTATAAGGATCTCACTAAGCTTCAATCAATTAGGTAGTAATTTTATTAAGCGGGACGGACCAAGTCACGATCCCCGACGGTGCTCTACCCCACGCCCGTTATCCGGCGTGCAAGTCACCTCAACATAGCACTACAATGTGCAAATTCGGGGTTTCAAACCTTCAACACAGCATTTACATCTATTACTAACCTCAAACTGGCCAAAGTCCTAGCTTGCTATGCCTTTGCCTTTCGAATTCACCTCCGCGTGCGTCGAATCTGACCAAAACCACAACGAATACGTCACAATATGCTAAGGGAATATGACCCAATCGAAAAGACTCGAAAAACATCAAAAATCACGAAGTTGGCAAAAGCCGAGCCCCGGGCCCACTTCTCGAAAAATTAGAAAATTAACATCACCAGATTCCTTATCTCACCACGAGTCCATGCATATAAAGAACACCAAAATCGGAGTCCAAATGACCCCTCAGATTCCCATTTTTGTTCTCTTAGGTTTCAAGCCCTAAACCACCATTTTTGACCTTAATTCCTTGAGTTTTCAGTGTAATTTCATGTATTTGCATGATAAAATTGTGTTCTAAGTCCAAGAATGCTTACCTGATCGAAGTCCTTGAATTTCCTCTTCAAAATCGCTCAAGAACACCCCAAGTCCGAAGTTAACATATGTATTCTGTAAAATTTCGTGAAGGAATTAAAACCCACTTCTGATCAGTTATTTCTGCTTCTGCGGTGCCTTTGTCGCTTCCGCGACTACCGCATCTGCGGTCACTTTTCGCTTCTGCGGAATCTCACTTATTACCTCGGACCGCTTTTGCGGTCACTAACCGCTCTTCGGAAGCCGCTTATGCGGGAAATAGTCCGCTCCTGCAGAAATCTCCAAAATGCCCAACCTCGCTTCTGCGACTCCTCATACGCTTCTGCGGAGCCACTTCTGCGGTCCATTTCTGCAGAAGCGAAAATACCAGATACCAGACCACTCAGCAGTCCTTAAACTCCAAATTTCATCCCGTCAGCCATCCGAAATCACCCCGAGGCCCCCGGGACCTCAACCAAAAACACAAACATGATCCAATACCTTATTCAAACTTGCTCCAATCATCAAAACACCTCAAACAACACTAAAACCATCATTTCTCATCGAATTCAAGCCTAAGTTCTTCCGGAACTTCCGAAACACGCATTCGATCAAAAACCCAACCAAAACACCTCCGAATGACCTGAAATTTTGCACACACATCCCAAATCACCTAACGAAACTACTGAAACTCTCAGAATTCTATTCCGACTCCCGGATCAAAATCTCACCTATCGACCGGAATTCGCCAGAATCTTAACTTTGCCAATTCAAGCCTAATTCTACTCTGGACCTCCAAAATCACTTTTGATCACACTCCTAAGTCACAAATCATCCCCCGAAGCTAACCAAATCATCGGAATTCAAATCCAAGCCCTCTAACACAAAAGTCAACATCCGGTTGACTTTTCCAACTTAAGCCTTCTTAAAAGAGACTGAGTGTCTCATTTCTTATCAGACCCAATCCAAATCAACTCCAACACATCTAATACTGATACTGAAACATATGGAAATAGAAAATGGGGAAAACGGGGCGGTAACACACGTGACGACGGGTCGGGTCGTCACACTCGGGCTGCCGGACCAGGATCCCCTACTATTTTGCCGGACCATAAAAAATGACCTAAGAGAAAAATAGTCACTGTCTCGCCATGAATGTTCCTCTTTTTTGGCATTTTAGGGCCATAAAACTTGAATTTCGCCTAATTCTAAGATTTTCGGGCGCTATAGCCCACACCTTCTGCATGGGCCCGGGGTGTTGGACCCAGATCATCCAAAATATTGCGGGACTATCAAAACCTAACTAAGGAACAATAGTCACTGCCTCGTCGTGACCTTTCCCATTTTTTGGCATTTAGAGCTATAAACATGAATTTCGCGCGATTCTCAGATTTTCGATGCTATTGCCTATGCCTTCTGCATGGGCCCGGGCTGTCGGACCCGAAATGCCTAAAATATTACCAGACCGTTAAAAATGACCTAAGTAAAAATATAATCACCGCCCTTCCATGAGCGTTCCTTATTTTTTGGCGTTTTAGGGCCATAAAACTGAAATTTTGCTTGATTCCTAGGTTTTCGTGTGCGATAGTCCACGCTTTCTGCATGGGCCGGACCCGGATTGCTTAAAATTTGGCCTTACCATACAAATCGACTCATGGAACAATAGTCACCGTCTCGCCATGACCGTTCCTCATTTTTTGGCATTTTAGGGCCATAAAACTAGAATTGTGCCCGATTTCTAGATTTTTGTGTGCTTGCCCACGCCTAACGCCTTCTGCATGGGCCCCGGATCGCCAAATTCGGATCGCCTATAACTTTTTCCGTACCATAAAAACGACCTAAGGAACAATAGTCACCGCCTCAGCATGACCGTTCCTTATTTTTGGCGTTTTAGGGCCATAAAACTAGAATTTTATCGATTCCCAGATTATCATGTGTTATAGCCCACGCCTTCTGCATGAGCCGGGGTGCCGGACCCGGATCGTTTAAAATATTTTCAAACTATCAAAAACGACCTAAGGAACAATAGTCACCACCTCACCATGAATGTTCCTCGTTTTCTAGCGTTTTAGGGCCATAAAATTGGAATTCCGTCCGATTCCTAGATTTTTGTGTGCTTGCCCACTTCTTCAGCATGGGCCCAGGATGCCGGACCCGGATCGAATAAAATTTAGCTGGACCATAAAAAATGATCTAAGAAACAATAGTCACCACCGCGTCATGATCGCTCATCGTTTTTTGGCGTTTTAAGGCCGTAAATCCTTAACCGCTTTTTGCTTCTTAATTGAAAATAAAATTTCACATATTTCGTCAAGGTGTAGAAGAGTAAGGTTTTTTGGTCTTTTTGTAATAACTTGGGTTTAATGAGGGAAAAAAATGGTATGTTAATGGAGAGTGAGAGAAAAAGAAGAAGAAAAAGGTAGGCTTTGGGAAAAAAGAAGGGATGTCCAACCTAAATGGTAGGATAGAAGAATATTGTAAATCTACACTATAAACCCAAATTGGATCGCCTAAATTTTTGCCGGACCATCAAAAACGACCTAAGGAACAATAGTCACCGCCTCGCTATGACTGTTCCTCCTTTTTTTTTTTTTTTTTTTTTTTTGCTTTTTAGGGCCATAAAACTAAAATTCCACCCGATTCCTAGATTTTCGTGTGCTATAGCCTACGCCTTCTGCATGGGCCCGACCTAAAATTTTGTCGGACCATAAAAAATGACTTAAAGAATAATAGTCATCGCCTCTTCATGAACGCTCCTCGTTTTATAGCCCATGCCCGGGCGACCGGACGCGGATCGCCTAAAACTTTGTCATACCATAAAAACGATCTAAGGAACAATAGTCACCGTCTCGCCATGATCATTGCTCGTTTTTTGGCGTTTTAGGGCTATATAACTAAAATTTTACCCGATTCGCGATTTTTGTGTGCTATAGCTCAAATCATCTGCATGCATCCGAGTGATCGGACCCGAATCGTTTAAAAAATTTGCCAGCCCATGAACCTCCGGACCTAAAATACTATAAGTTTAGTATTGAAGGCTCCTTCATAGGTATCCCGGGTAAGGGAGGAATAGTGGGAGTATACTGGATTTTGGGGTTTAACATGGGAATATCACATGCCACAAACATCTGTATGGAAGCACTAGCTCTCCTTCAAGGTCTCAAAATTTCAAAGGAAAGAAATCTTCCACCTTGTGTTATCGAAACTGATTGAAAAAAGCTTATAAATATGTTTACTAACAATGCTAGCCCTCATCAAAGATTTAATGGATGATTGCAAGTTCCTATTGAATGAAGCAAGTAACCCGCCATTGAAGCATATATTTAGAGAAGCAAATGAAGTGACGGACCAATTAGCAAAGAATGTATGTAACTAAGTTGTGTTTAGGAGCCTAATTACTTATGTTGCTCCACCTACTTTTGTTGTTTCTATTTTCAAAAGGGACAAGCTAAGAACTATGTGTCCTAGAAAGATCCAACTTTGTAATGATTTTTAGTAAGTGTTTTTAATAAATGTCTTTTTAACCAAAAAAAATCTAAAATTACAAGTAAAGTTATGTTTCTAGTTTTGTTTGTACTAGAAAACTCAGTTAACTATTTCAATAGCATGTAGAAGACAACTAGACAAATTTTCGATGGCCAGATATCTATTTTACCCTCTAAATTACTAATATTTATTTTTTTAATACTTTTTAATATTATATATTTTTTTCTCTTTTTACTCTATATATAGAATAAATAAATTCTTTATAAAGTAAAAGATAAAAAATAGTGTTGAGGCATATGTAATGTTGGAACAAAATAATAGAGTAAAGTTTTCAAGCATATATATGTATTTTATAAAAGTACCTCTACTTTAAATAATTTTTTTTTGTATTATATGCATGAAATATATCTTAAAAAGCTTTTATTCTCTTTCATTCTCATTCCGTAAATAGATTAATTTTGAAGTTTTGTTATTATTATAAAATTTATTGATACAAATAAATTATTCATATTAAATTTTTTATTGTGCTCAATTATTTTTTTCATTAATTTCAGGTGCTTATACTCTTATTTTAAAACTCAACCATAATTATTAGTATAATATTTATGTAAGTTTAAAAAATATCACTCATCGAAACAAGGTACACGCGCATCACGCACACATTAAGACTAGTTAAATAATAGTATAAATAGAGAGGTGATGAGATTGAGTTAGTTTCAATAGCATTTGGCAGATTGGACTAAATTTGCAATCAGCAGCTCAATTATACTTTATCCAGTCCAAAATTCAGACACCTAATTAATCCCAAAAAATATTCTCCTATAATTTGCAGTATGACACTTCAAACTATATTTATCTCTTTTTTATTTAAATTGCTGAATAATCGTGACTAAAAATACATGAAAGAAAAATACATTAGCTTAATATAAGCACTTCTTATTCTTCGAGCAGATCCACTATAAGTTCTACTTGATTTTAGCAAAATCAACAGTGTCTTTCCCATCATGAGCTTTCCTAAAGAAATGCTTGACATAATCTGAGTAAAGAACTTGTTTGTAAATTGGTTCCTCTCCATTCTCTAGCACTTCAGCCAAAGGACCAATTACATCACTAGGTTTAGGGTTTACAAAAATTGGCACAGAAATCCTATTATTGCTGCCATTAGCCATAACTCGATGCTCAATACTCTTGTATCGTCCATTGCTCATTATTTGAAGAGCATCGCCAATGTTAATTACCAGAGCTCCATTGATTGGTGGGACGTGAACCCAAGTTTCACTGTCCAGTTTTTTCACGTAAAGTCCTCCTATATTATCCTGAAGAAGAATTGTTAATGTTGAAACGTCAGAGTGACGACCTACTCCGACGGTTAATTCGGGATTAGGGCATTTTGGATAGTAGTTAACGTTAATCCTCTTTGAACCCATTAGAAGTGATTCTTTAGTTTGGTCTATTTCTTTTACGTTTAGTCCTTTCATAAGTGCCTCCAACAGCTTCTTGATCACAATTTCAGAATTTTTCAAGAAGTCCAAAGCTTCCTCCCTGTAAAAAAAAAATGATGAAAAGATTAGTACTCTTGCCCGGAGGCGGATTCAGGATTTGAGACTTATGGGTTCCAGAGGCGGATTCAGAATTTAAATCCTATGGGTTCAATTTTTAAGGTTTTTAGCATTGAACCCATTATATTTTTAAAGTTATGGGTTTTTATATCTACTTTGTTTTTGTAATTTTAGTGAATTTTTACATATAAATTTTTTACTCTGCGTCGAAAGTTATGGGTTCAATTGAACCCGTAGTCACAACACTGTATCCGCCCCTGATGGGTTCCTACCGTAATTTAAAATTAATATGCAATATAATTGGGTTCACAATTAGATATTTTCAAATATTTAGCGAATTTTTTAATATAAATACAGGGTCTACATAAGATTTAGTGGGTTCTCGGGAACCCATATTCAATGCTCTAGGTCCGCCCCTGCTCTTGACGTTTCAATTTAGATGAGGTAGTTTGACTTGGTACGGAGTTTAAAAAAAAGACTTTTGAAACTTGTGGTCTTAAAAGTTTATGGGATAAAAGCTTTGTGGGGCTATGTCATTTTGTAGTTATAAAGTTTCTCATTAAGGGTAAAATGGATAAAATGAAGAATTTAAAATTAAATTATTTTCAATAGTAAAAATATGTCATTCTTTTTGGAACATACTAATAAAGAAAGTGTAAATTGAAACCGGGGAGTTATATCACATATAAAGAAGGAAAAAAAACCATGTAATATATTTTATGACTGAAGTAAGATTTACAAACTTTAAATATTTGTTGATACTTGATATCTTACGTGTTATCAAAAGTAAGACTGTTATAATTAAATACATAAATAAATAAATAAGTAAGACACAAACGTATTTCCCTGTTGATAATTGTGGAAGCAGCAGGAAAAAGGGTCTACATCGTACTTAACCCTAACTTTAATTATTACATACGACAATAATACCTCAACAGTTCAGTCCCCACTTATGAAATAGACTTGAGAAAGTCTGCTTCTATAGAGCACTCAGAAGTTTAAGTTTTGTATCATATGATGTAAAAAATATTTACAGAATCAGTTCACATTTGAGGTAATTATAAGAAATTTTTTTAAGGGTGTTTAAATTTGAAAGAAATGAAAAAAATTCACAAACAAATTGTGCTCAATATATGTTATATATCTCTAAAATGTAATATTTTACCTAAATACACGATATAATTTTCTGACCAAGGGTAGTCAATTGACCACCCCTTCTGAACATGTGGCTTCGCCACTGATATCAATAACCTGATATAAATGGTAATTAACATGCTATCATAAGTTAAAATAAACTAACAACGTAAAAATTATTTACATTCGTTTTCTTCTTAAGTATTTATTTTTGGCTAAATTTAGGAGAAATAAAGGAAATGTTGAATGTTGCAAACCTGAGAGCAGAAGGCCAAAGAGCAGCAGCTTCTTCATCAGAAACATAAAAAAGGCTCAAATAATCTTTCCATTCCAATGCTTTTTCTGCTTTAGGAGTAAAACTAGTTCCATATCTCACGTTATTACTCGATGAATTTTCCTTTGAATACTTATTTTTCTCTTCTGCTGGTTGTCTGAAAAATGTATAAGTCGCTTCCTTAACAGATTCAAGAACATCAAGGGAAATATCATGATTTATAATTTGAAAAAAACCCCATTTCTCAGCTGCATTACATATTTTTTCACCAATTAATTTTGTTTCATTATCCCAATTGTACATGTCAATGACTGGAATTTGATCATCAAGAATTACAGTGGTAGGAGTAATTCGTTCTTCGATTGGCTGAATATATTGCTTAGGTAATGTTTGAAGTCCCATTTCTGAAAGACCTTTCACTCCATGCCCTTCATTTACTACAAAGTCAGTGATGTTTGAAAGAATTGAGACTGTAGTAGGCATTTTTGTATTAGTAAAAGAAATAATAAGAGAAAATTAGGGTTTATGAAAAATGAATTGAATGAGGAAAACTTTGATGATCTATTGATTCTGAGTTAGTGCAGTATTTATAGGCAATTGTCATGCCATGAAACTCTCAATAATTAACGTTCTGAATTTTTAGTTCAGTGGAAAAATAAATGATGTGATTGGTGCATGCACATTTTCTTGTTGTGTATTCATAGGGTTAATATGTTACGTTTACTTTTCTTTGTTCAATAGGTACTTGTCCCTTTGAGTAAACGAGGAACACGTTTGATTTAATTCGTTTGAAGTTTCAACCTTTGTTTTAGGGTTGAATTTTAAGGTAAAATTCAGAATTATATTAGGTTACAAAAATTTAAGAAAATTACATTAAAATTGTGTCTAGTATCTTTTTACGCCTAAACCAAGTCTAATTTAGTGCAGGAATTGTCTCTTCATTGTGAAAATAAATTACAAAATATTTTCCATGTCTATTTTTCTCTTAGAAGGGATGGTGGGAAATGTTAAATTTCTGTGACCATATATACGTCTTTTATTCGTATAGCAACGACAGTGAAACAACTATCGACCTCGCCTTTGATTCTAATTATAACCATAAGAAAATAAAGATCCTATTTTCTATAAAAATGAAATGAAGAAACAAACATTTAGCTTTCAATAATCCAAAAAAATAAAATTATTTTTATATCTAGAGCTTTTCCTCTTTTTTTTTGTTCTAACTCAGATATTAGCATGTATCCTGATGTAGATCTCCTTGTCTAGGCTATTGTGGTTCTTATTTCAATACAAATATTAAGTTCAAATTAATATATGAATAGTTGGTTGACCTAAAGAGACCAAAGCAGAAGTAATAAAAAAGACGATCTTTCACAAAAAGAAATTAAAATATAGCAGAAGAAAATTAGGAACCAGGTGTACGAGGTTATCAAAACGTGTTGAAACAAGTTTGAGAGTCTTCGCCAAAAGTCCTAGTAAGTCTGTTTTCCTATAACCTGTGGCCGCCGGCATGTACGGACACAAAAACACAAAGTTTGTTTCCTATGATTTCCATTCCAGCTAACCTTATTTTGTTTTTCTTGGCTGCCAGCTCCTATCTCTCTCTCACTTTCAAGGGAAATTTTCAGGTAAAAGAAAATCATTTACGTAAAAAAAATTAGTAGATAATATTAATCAAGAACAAGAAGGAAACAAAAAAATACTTATCGAAAAATACTGTATAGTTGCAAGTCACTGCCTTGAAAACGATTTTAGCCTGACTGAGTGCAAAATTATTAAGACCAGTCGCTACCCAAGGTTCCACATCACCTCCAGATGCACAATCGGTTGAAAAAGAATAGAAGAGATGAAGGTGTTTTTCTGTCTTTGAAAACTTCTATATCTCGCGCGCAGGGGGCAAATCGACCTGTTTTGCCTCCAGGACCAATTTCTATTGTGCGCAAGGCCACTCCCTTTTACTAGCTACTCCCTCCGTTCACCTTTACTTGTCCACTTTGAACTTTTCACGCCCCTTAGGAAATAATAATTGTAGTATGTATTTTATCATCATATAACCTCTAATAATGATAGCATTTCAAAAGTCTTGGGACATAATTTTGAAAATGAGTAATTAATGATAGGGGTAAAATAGGGGGAAAAAAAGATTGTCTTTCTCTTGATTTAGTATATTGGACAAGTAAAAGTGAAAATCTATTTTTAGTATAGTGGACAAGTAAGAGTGAACGGAGGAAGTACTTACAAGCCTACCAAAGAGTAATTCAATATAAAGAGAAGAAGAAAACTTTTGACAACGAATGAGGGATACTTTATCTTTCACAAAAGACAAAAGAAGTAAAGAAGAAAAAGGGACTGGAAAAAAATAATTGAATCTGCATTACCAAATTTAAATAATACCATACCAACAATTTACACAGAGACAGTGATATCAATATTAATTCCATTAAATTTAGGATTTCTAAATGATAAATGATTTAAACAAGTAATGTCTGTTGAATAAAATTGATGATTTTATTTTTATATAATTTAATATATAATTAAAACTGATGGAGCGAAAGATTAATTTGTCAGGGTTGATTGAGCTAGTGATCAACAGTTATATATCTCCTTATATTGTTTAGAATCCTCACTTCGTGATTTAAGTTTTATAGTTGAGTTAGACCAAATATCATTTTCTCTTAATAAGATTTTATTACATAATAGATATGATTGATAGCTGATAGTCGAGGTGTGTGCATAAGTTGATCTAAATTAATGAATCAACTACAAATTTTCTGCAACTAGTTGGGTAGTTAACAGCTAGCACAGCCGTCGTAAAAGGAGGTCAAAGAAGAATAATTGTGGTAATGATAATCAAAGGAGTAAAGCCAAAATTTGAAAGCCAGTCTACCACTCCTGTCTTCAGTGAAAGCGATCGGGAGGAGTCCGGAACCGAAATGTGATTCTTTTAAATTCAAAATACTTTTTTAGGTGTAAAAAAAAACTTACCACTCTATATAAAATACGGTTATGAACCGCGTTTTATATAAAACTATAGTAGCTGATAAGACCGCTATATAAAACACGGTAATGAACCGCGTTTTACATGATCTACAATAATAGTATCACCCACCGGGGTAGATACGTGAACAGGCAAAGCAAGACAACCTCGGGTAGTACCCAGGTGATGAGCAAAATATGAAGATACATAGGAATAGGTAGATCCGGGATCAAATAAGACCGAGGCATCTCTGTGGCAGACCGAGATAATACCTGTGATAACAGCATCTGAGGCAATGGCGTCCTTCCTGTCTGGAAGAGCATAGAATCGAGCCTGACCACCGCCAGTCCGGCCTCCACCCCTGGGGCGGCCCCTGGCTACCTGACCTCCACCCCTAGCTGACTGGGCGGGTGCTGATGAAACAGGAGCAGAAGATGAGGGCTGATCCCTCTGCTGAGACTGACTACCACGACGCCGAGGACACTGTCTCCTCATATGACCGAACTCACCGCACTCGTAACAACTACCCGACGCTGGAGAAGGGGACTGATGGAAACCCCTCGGTGCTGAAGAACCCTGGGCTGAAGAGGCAGGTGTAGAGCTCTGAGCTGGAAGGGCACTAAGTGAAGTCTGGCCCTGCTGAAATCCCTGATGGCCACGGCCTGAAGAGGCCCCACTGTACTCTGGACGACCTGACTGAGGAGGCCTGAAGGAACGTCCTCTGCCACGCTGGAACTGGCCCCTAGACGGAGCACCACTGAAACTACCTGAACTTCGAGGCCTCTTTGCCTCTCTCTCCTCACGCTCCCGACGGCGAACCGTCTCAATCTCTCGAGCCATGTTAACTACCTCCTCAAACGAGGCACCCATAACCCTCTCTCTGGTCATCAAAATGCGGAGTGAATAGTTGAGGCCATCCACGAACCTCCTAATCCTTTCCCGATCTGTCGGGATCATCCAAGTGGCATGCCGAGCTAGCTGCGTGAATCTCAACTCGTACTGGGTCACAGACATGTCCCCCTGAACCAACCACTCGAACTGACGACGCAGCTCCTCCCTGTGAGACTGCGGTACGTACTTCTCCAGAAAGAGTGTGGAGAACTGCTGCCATGTAAGGGGCGCTGCACCAACCGGCCTACGCCTCTCGAAGTCCTCCCACCAGGTGAATGCAGACCCTGAGAACTGGAAAGTAGTAAAAGCCACACCACTCGACTCTAAGATCCCTGCAGTGCGAAGCATACGCTGACACTTATCCAGAAAACCCTGGGCATCCTCGCCCTCGGCACCGCTGAATGTCGGAGGCTGAAGCCTGCCGAATCTCTCAAGATGACGCTGCTCATCGTCCGCATAGCTGGAACCTCATAGACTGGAGCTGGTGCAACTGGAGCAACTGGAGGAGCTATGGCTGCTTCCGGTGTCTGAAATCCCTGGGCAGCCTGCTCAGGTGTGTGAGCAACAGGGGTCTGATGTCCTCCCCCGGTCTGGGAAGCAGCTGCTGCAGTAGAAGCTGAGACCGCCTGAGCCAGGCCAGTACAAACTGATAGTATCTGTGCCAAGGTCTCCTGGAGACCAGGAATAGCAATAGGCACTGCTGGTGCCCGCACAGGTGCTGCTGGGACATCGACAACCGGAGTCTGGTCCTGAACTGTGGCAGCTGGTGGGTCAGCAGGTGCTGTCTCTGCTGCCCTACCTCGACCACGACCACGACCGCGTCCACGGCCTTTAGTGGGTGGTACTGGTGGTCGACCATCGCGTCCGGTAGCACGAGTTCTCGCCATCTGCGAGAGAATAGAATACAGGAATTTAGATCTCGAATCACAAAGCCGCACGACACGAATTTCAAGAATATGGAGTTTTCCTAAAGGTTCTGCAGCCTCTCGAGGAGAAGTACAGGCGTCCCCGTACCGTTCCGCGAGACTCTACTAAACCGGCTCATGACTCGCGAGGCATAGTAACCTAGGCTCTGATACCAACTTGTCACGACCCCAATCCCGATCGTGATGGCGCCCAACACTAATGCTAGGCAAGCCCGACCAAATTAAATACTCTCAACCCAAATACGCAATCCGTTAACAAATAATACGATTAAAATAGCAAATATCAAAGTTCCAATCCGAATCTAAATAAAATAGTACGGAATATAATAACGAATATCCAAACATTCCCCAATAGATTTGGAGTCACGAGTCTAGAGCCTCTAGATGTAACCGAGTAATATATAGGGGAGGAGTCGGGTCCTGCGGACGTCAGGCAGCTACCTCAACAACTCCTGAAAATAAACTTCACGAAAACGGCAAACAGCTCCACTAAATCTCCGGAGCACCTGAATCTGCACACATGGTGCAGGGAGTAAGTGAGTACTTCCAACTCAGTGAGTAATAAATATATATAATGGCTGAAAGTAAGAAATCCCGAAATATTACAATATAAAGCTATAATCAGCGATTCAGCACATAAAACGGTGGAACAACAACAATACCAAGACAAATAATACAAATAGGTATAAATGCATGAATGCAATGCAATGCACATGACCGCTGCGGCGCGCAACCCGATCCATTTGGGTACCCGCGCT